GCTTAGAATACTCTCTATATTTTCTATTTCCTCTTCTACTTCCATTTGAAATAGATCTTTTCTAGCTATATGTTGACATTTTAATTTTTCTATAATGATACTAATCCCTAGGTACTTTCTGCTAAGGCAAGATACCCTTTCCAATATTTCCCAAATACTAAGTCCTCATTGAAAGGATCATTTTTTGTTATAATCTATTATGTTATTGGACAGATACTATGGCAAACTCATTTGGAGCTATATCTATCTTCTATTTTCCACGCATATATCACTTCCTGAATAACTTCTACCTACATTAATTGGATAGCTTTCAAAAGTAATAAAGCATTTGATGAAGTGCTATTTGCTCAACATCAACTATGGGGTGCTACGAAGATAAATAAACAAAATAAGAACATAGTTTTATCTTTGAGAAGCTTATATTATCATAAAGGTGCTACATAATGACTGCCTAAATGTACGGAATGTCCTAAGTACCAACAAAGTGTTATAGGACCTCAGAGGAGGAAAGGATCCTTGATGACTGGAGAAATGTATGAATTTAACATTGAAAAATGAGGATTCTGAGTGGCCTTCAAAGAGGGGGAGGGGAATGACGTAAGAAAGAAAAGAGAAAAATCACAGGCTGGTATGAAGATCAGTAAATGGCTGAGTTTGGCTGGAATAAAAGGTACAAGGAAGGGAGAAGCAGGTGGGACCTGAGAAGGTAAGTTTCTGCCAACTCCAGGAGGCCGACATACCAGGCGAAAATGAACTTTGTTTATTAAGTAATAAAACCTTACTCAGAGTGACTCCAAAAAATAAAATCAATATGAATAAACAAAGCTTTGGGCTTGTTTTGTCTTTTTTTTTTTTTTTTTTTTTAAAAAAAAAAAAAAAATTATTGGAATGACCTCTCTATAAAGTATTCACACAAAACACATTATTAGTGGAAAGGCAAGTAGAAAATAAGAAAATAGGATATTAGTTCTTGAAGTACGCTTATAACTGCTTTAATTTTAAAGGAATAATATAAAATGAAAAGTCCTTCAAAATACACG